CGCGTTTCGTAGTCCACGGATTTGAGGCCGGCAACAATTCTCGTAGCGGCTCGCTGGACTCGCTCAATGAGGGTGACGTCTTTCGTGCGTCCTGAGTAGACAACTTGGTTGGTGTATTCCAGGAGCGGTCTGACGTAGGCCCCTTAGAGTATTTGGAAGTCCATGCAAGTAATGCGGGAGAAGGTGCTTCGGAGCATCCGTAGAGTGGCGAATGCCTTTTGGACCGATGTCTCATGGTGCAATGAGAAGGACAAGTTTTTAGGAGACCTAGGTGCCCAAATCCTTTTGGGCATCTATCCTCATGATGTTTTCTGGTCCTTTCTCACAATGCATGACAAAGCCACTCGCTGAGTCTCCTTCAAATGACTTATGGATGCACTTTTCGTCATTCGGAGTAAGGTGCCTGTCCAACGACCACTGCTTGGCAGCGCTACATCCATTCGTTGACGTAGATCAGAAACAGCGGCGGTCCCAGAACGGAGCCTTGAGGAACTCCAATGGAGGCCGGCGCTGGAGAAGAGTAGGTCGAGTCTATTCTCACTCGGAATGATCTGTCTGGTAGGAACGCCTTGATCCAGTGAAGGATTTCCCCTTGATTCCCGTAAGAACCGAGTTAGTGGAGCAGCGGGACGTGTGGATAACTATCAAATGCTTTTGAGAAGTCGAAAAATATGGCATCCGATATGAGTCCTTCGTCCTTGGCTTGGGTTAAGCTGTCCATAAACACGAGCATGCTTGTCACGCAAGAACTGTTTGGGGGAAATCCGTGTTGAGCTGGAAGCTAACCTAAAATTCATCAACCACTCAGTACCAGATATGGGATTAGTTGCTAATTGGCGCGTCAACGGACACTTATATTATACCCCTTTATATACCGTTAATCAGGTTACACTCACCACCGGGAACATCAAGCTACACTAATTTCCTCAAATTCGGCCATCCTCTTTGGAGAAGCGAACAGCGTCCAACGCTCACAAATCGAGCCTACGACCTAACGGCCCTCCATCCTTATATTCACTGATCAAGTTCAACCTGCTTACGGTATCCGGAGTGGACTACTAACCCAGACAACACAGCTGAGCAAAGTTACGACAGTTGAACTCACTCTTCAAGCCATCGTTTTTCGTTGAGTCTATGATTTCTGCTAAGCTTCTGCCATGGGAATAATGACGTACATTGTTAGCAAAACCAAAGATCTATAGGTGACACCTAATTAACCTCATGTAACACACTGGTTTTGCGGTTGTGGAAAACACTCCGACGCTTACGAACGATTTGGCTATTCTTGAAGCACGTTATATAGGTTGAGTCCTCAATTGTCAATCAATATGACGTCCTGAATAGACCCAAACGATACATTTAGCTGAAAATAATTTCGAACTCTACGACTCAAATTTGCGGACCATTTCAGGCTGGAAGGTTTAATTCAGTTTCTGACACAATGTTTGAGAAGAGCAGGGGGTGTACATACATGTAGGCATGTACAGATGGCACATTTCGGTGATCCCGCCGTTAAAGTAAAGGAGAGAGTTGTATTGCAAACTTCTGCAAAACCCGGTGTGCTTCATGTCCTGCCAAATTTTTATTCTCGATAAATTTTGTTTCGAAAGCAGCTGTGAAAAACATCAGTCGACTGAAATTTCGAATATATGGCCATTAGAAGTATGAACGTGATATGAAGCGTGTCATCTGTTTGGAGACGGATTGAATTTTGGAAGCAGAGTTCTCTTGTTTTTTTATCAGCTGGTTGTTGATCTGTTCGCTGGTAATTGATCTCGTTCCTAATAGCCACCTTGCAGTGGAGTGCTCTGGTTGAGAGCTTCCCTCGTGCTTGTTTTATATACCGTTTGTCGCAGTCTTTGAACTGGATCCCGTATATGACATTGTTCATCATCATTGAATCTACTTTCCCTTGATAATGTCCCCCACAAAGTGTTAACAGGTTTGTAAGTGACCTTCGTATTGTGCAGAGGCGTGGCTTCATCAAGTTTCGCCCCGCTTTTCACATAAAGCAGCAACAATCCTTAACACAGCACCACGAGATTAACTTCGGCGTACGTCTAACAGATAACTGAAAAAAGGTTCGCATGCTAGCCACTCGGAGAGGCATTTCCCAAAAAATTAAATTAACCATCCGAAAGGCCGTTTAGTTTCATTTTCTCCAGAGTAACTTGATTCACAGTACTGAAAAAAGGTTCGCATGCTAGCCACTCTGAGAGGCGTTTCCAAAAAAATTAAATTAACCATCCGAAAGGCCATTTAGTTTCATTTTCTCCGGAGTAACTTGCTTCACAGGTCTATACCGGAGTTGTCTCCCCCACGAAGCGCATCGCCTTATGCTTCTGCATAATTTCTAAACGGACGACACCCTCATCTTCGGTCCGGATAAAAATTGAAAGTACTGAAGGCCTTGTCACTGATTAAAGGCAATCTTACAGGAAACCACCGGTTATATCCTGCCAGCAGGGGTTCTGAAGGCGGTAATTGGTGATGGGATTATATGATTGGAAGGATTTTTTGTAAAGTTTGTTGCAAAAATAACAGCAAGTTTGAGCAGGAAGAGAATATACATCACAGAATAACGTGGCTGCCAGACTGATCGATTTGAACGAGCGTGAAATGAAATATATTTGAAAGAGTTGTGTGCCCTCGTTCATGCCCAACTCAGCTTTTTGGCAGAAAAATTATAAAAGAGAATATCATAGGGTGGAGAAGTAGAAAATAGCTATCTATTTTTATGTGCCGCATGAGAACGTTGAGTTCGCGCGCTTAGACAAATATTACAGCCGCTGGAAGAACCGAATATAGAAGAAGCACTTGAGGTCAGTTTGGACTGGGCTGTGATGCAGATACAGTTCTGCTTTTAGATACGCGCGCGCTTAGACAAATATTACAGCCGCTGACGGAGAGTAATCAGGCTGGAAGAACCGAATATAGAAGTAGCACTTGAGGTCAGTTTGGACTAAGCTGTGATGCAGCTGCAGTTTTGCTCTTAGATACAACACGAGGAAGCACCTCCAGGTTCGTATGGACACCAAGATCCAGGGGGATAACTTGATAAGCGTGCGGCGTTGAACCGCGGGTTTGGTGGATGGCTACCACACTGTTCCCATAGAATGAAAGCTTGACTCCGTGGAAGTTTCCCTTTTCTATCCCCGCGTCAAGGAGCTTCTGATTTTCAATTGTTTAGTCGACCCGCACCATTCACATTGCCGCAGAGGTCGCCTCTTTCAACAGTGGCATATTAGTATGGTGTTTGTGTGTGAATGGAAGTAGTCTACCTAAGTGTGCGCGCTCGTGTCACGTTTGCTGAGTTTGTCACGACTTGATCCGTCGTGATTATCGTGCATTCACACCGCCCAACAGAATCACGAGACTTTCCTCGGAAAGGACGATCGCAACCCACATTCCGGGGTCTCGCTTGGTGTGCGAACCTTGACACTATACTGTACCGGTCAATGGCTGACTTGTTCAGTTGCTGACGTAACGAACATGGATAACAGGTTTGTTGCATAAGTTTGCTTAAGTTTGTGTGAATAGTATCGTGGACTTTTAAACCCAACTCCCGCTTTTGATATTTTGGTACGTCAAACCTGCATATGACCCTAATTTCCGCATCGGGAAACTTAACTCACTGTTTCCGTCGGGAAGTTAGTTGTGGCCTTTGGCTGAAAAGTGGGTCAATCAAAGTACTTCAGATGAACCCTCTCGAGGTCGACCATGATCCGGTAAATCTTACGTGGTTTGCTGCTAAAGACGTATTGTTATGGGATCCTTTTTGTTTGAATGGGTCTAATCGACCATGAAATCTGGTGACTACATGACCACCTGCTAAAGACGTATTGTTATGGGATCCTTTTTGTTTGAATGGGTCTAATCGACCATGAAATCTGGTGACTCCACACATGACCACTGCGCGGGGACAGCCTAATGAAAACTTAAGCCACGTTGCGGTCATGTCCTGATATACCAAACCCTCAAAAATAGTGAGCATGGCATCTTGCTCCGGATACTAATGATTCCAGATCAATGCTGGATTTAGCAGCCAGCTGGATGATGCAGGCCATTCAATGCGTCCACGACAAATAGACCCGAAAAACACTATAGATCTTAGTTGTGACCATGTTAGATTACTTTTGTAATATGGGAAGTCGGAAAGCTTCATTCAGGAACGAGTTCAACTCTGAAGAACGAAATGGTTCGTAAGTCTGAAGAGGGATAAACAGATATGGGTATACTGTGACAAATAGACCCGAAAAACACTATAGATCTTAGTTGTGACCATGTTAGATTACTTTTGTAATATGGGAAGTCGGAAAGCTTCATTCAGGAACGAGTTCAACTCTGAAGAACGAAATGGTTCGTAAGTCTGAAGAGGGATAAACAGATATGGGTATACTGTCTCAGCAGGCAGGATTACAATTGACCGCAAAGTAACATAATGCAGCCAATGGATTGCCAGCACATGGACATCGCCAAAGCTACATAAGTCCGGCAGAATGCGTCTGGGCACATTGGTCACATCGTCAACGAGAGTGGTCGACGAGAAATACAGCTTGCCGGATGAGATCGTGTACGATAGCACAGAGATCAGGTTCACAGAGATGTTGAATGATTCTCTGATATATAGGTCCAATAGAAGGCACTTTCTTGCATATCAACGAAGCCTACCATAAACCCTGCGATCTGCGTGACTAAGTTTCACTTAGGTGCTGTCACTAAGCCCTGAACTGGGCGAAACTGTGCCTAACCTAAGTGGACTGGTCTGACCTAGTCTACGTTCGCCCGCGCCGATTGAAGTTTCCGCAACGTGTTAATCCTTGGAAATGAACACGCTTTTGGCGCGCTGTAGCGCTCTACTAACTTCCACATTGACACTTTTGGCAGCTGTGATGTTCCTGTGTTTTTTATCTACCGCTTTCCAGAAGCCTTCCTATTCGGCGAAGTTGAGCGTTGGCCGTGTTGCGGTTGACAGTGCGAATGATTATTCCCAGTCGACAAATGCCAATAATGATCTTGGTCTAATAACAGTTGATTTAGAGGTAGGAAATGACATTCTGTGTCACCTCTCTTTCAGTCTTCTCTGGATCACCTTTTCAACTGGAATGTGAAACAATTATTTGTGTACCTGACTGCCGAATACCAAACTCCAGAAAATAGGGTTAACGAGGTAGTTCTGTGGGATAAGATCATCCAAAGGGGATCCAAAGCCAACCTCATGTATCGGAACATGAATTCAAAGTACTACTTCTGGGACGATGGCCATGGGTTACGTGGTAACCCAAATGTTACTCTGAAACTCTATGTGAACACAATTCCCAATGTGGGCTTATTGTCATTTTTGACCACCACAGGTTCCTTTACTTTTTCTTTCCCATCGACCTATACTAGTCGTCGTGGTTGATCTTTGACTGGCCTCTTATTTCTTACGTGTGTACCCTTTGAATTGAATGGTTTATAAATATATCACACCTCTTCCTTACTGTGGTCAACAACGTAGCGCAAGGGTTGTACTTGTGAGGGGTTCGGACTCCCGTTCATTCGCCCCATTTTGTTTATGCTACTCATTGGATCATGGGGTCTGCGTTGCCGCCTTCGTCCAGTAACTTAGTTGTCTATCATGGACCCGGAGTGCGGTCATGCGCATTCCCCTCGTTCGTGGAAAGTCCGGTAGCACATTAGTTAAGCAATATTCGGCTTTTTGTGTATTTCAGCTCTACCAAACCATTTATACGTCGTTTGTACTTTTACGGGTTTGGTCAGCTTTTTCAGTCGAGCTGTTTCAGGAAAGCCCTGAAGACAGCCACCTGTTTTCCACGATTGCCAGCCTGTTCCAGTGGAACCTTCCGTTTTGTCCACTGATGTCCACGCCTGAAAATGAGTCCAGAATGCACCAGAAATGGATGCACAAAGGCCGGTCATGTTCCACCCTTACTGGAGTGAATGGTCTCTCAGAGTGACGTCAGCCAGCATTAATCATTCGGATTGAAGGGGACGTCTAAGCATATGTCCCGCGCTATTCCGGCGGTTGTCAGTCCTGTTACTTTGTTTTGTCAGGTCTACGGAGACCACTTTGTTATTACTGCGAGGCCTGAAAGTGACTCGTGAGTTGTAGGTAGGTACTTCCGCGCACTGTCGCACATGCGCAAGTTCCACAGACCTTTTCCAGTACAATCTTGAACGTACCAATTCACCACCGTTACGATTTCTTTGTCAGGTTTTTTCGAAGTTTTTTGGTCTATAATATAAATGATACTTCTTCCTAAGTTCGAGGTAATGGTCTTGCCTAATGACTCACTGAAATGGATGAGCGTCCCAACCTGTGACACTTCTACCGTGACGAGTATTGAGGGTTGTCGCTTACCAGCACTTATATGACAGCCTGATTGTGGGTGATTTGGTTTAATCAATATTTCTACGCCCACTTCTTAATCGTGTAGGTGTTTTTTTACTTTTCTTTAGTCAGTTTGCATGTGAACGCTGAAAGTTTGCCTCATGAAAGTCGCAGGTGGTTGCAAGAGTTTCTATTCACCAACTGTGGAAGGGTCGACAGCAGTCAGTAGCCATTCCGTACAGTGGAGCTAGGTGTTTTTTGTTCGTGTATCTCGAGCTTTTCCAACCAACTTTCAAAGTGATGATCTTAACGGCACGGGATTTTTTCTCAGCTTCGTACTTGTTTGAGAAGATAATGGATTTAGGTAGTTCGTTGGTTAAAGGGCGTGATGCAGCCCAAGAGGTCCATAGTTTTAAATTAAACATGGTGTTCTGATTCCTCTTGCATATGTTTTGTCAAATTGGTACTACGCCATCCCTCTCAATTCCGCCAGGGCATGTGGCATCACCGTACGGATACCACAACTGATTGACGACCTTATTGTAGTGAGACGGCTTGCGCACCTCGTCAACCCATTCAGCCACACTGCATGGTGCAATCTAGTCAGTTTTTCAGCACACCAGGCGTGCATCGAACTGCAGCGGTCTCAGCTGCTACAGTTCCGTTAGCTGAGGATGAGGGAAATAAGGCAATGAAAGCCACTCGTTGGGGGCCGATGGACCAATCGATTCATCGGCGTCAAGTGTTTCTGTTTGTCCAGTGTGGCAGTGATGGAGAGCTGCGTAGTGGAGGCGATAGCTTTAATGCCACTGGCTCAGTGATACGACCATATCTATCAGGGTCACTAACCATTGGTTTGTCTCGTTCCGGGGTCCCCATCCGGGAAGACGGCATTTACCGACGCGAATAGGTTGAGTGGTTAGGTCTTTCGTGCTTCGTAGCCAGATCATGGACTGACCGCCCAAGGATCATTTCGTTCCGGCACAATGTTGAGTGGAGAGCGCTCTGCTAGGCAAACGACCATCTGATGTAGGAAACACATGGCCTAACTAGCGTAATCTGCGGAGTGTTGTCAGCTGTTCTATCGAGAATGAACTTCTCCACCAGTACTTTCCACCAGACTCGCGCGCTGCTTCGGGAACACAGGGAGCCTTTGGAGGTCTTCCACACGCAGAGACCACGTCTCTGGTCCATGAGGTAGGACAGATTGCACCGCGGCATTGTACACACTGTTCTTGACAGTCAAGCTGATGCCACATCGGCGCCACAAATGTTAGAGGGTAGCAAACGCTACACATGCCTTTCTAACTCGGCAAGTTATTTCGTCTTTTGCTAGACCGCCAGCACATATGCAGCTGCTTAGGTGGACAAACTGTCTAATCATGATCATCATTGTCACCTATAAGAACCGCGTGCTTGTCGTACATTGGTTGTAGCTGTCACAGTTTTCGTTCACCGATGATTTGGGAATGTGGGTAGGTAGCTGCGCATTGGAGGCGGGCGCTGTTAAATTGGTGCGTAAATACAGCACTATCAGTGGAGTGTCAAGCGGGTGGATTGGGAAGGGAGCTATGCTTTAAATGCAATAGCTTGGATGCACGAGCGCCATTGAGGGCACGACTGGGCCATGTCTGATAATGTCTCTAACCATTGGTGTGGTCCGTCTCGGGATCCCCATCCAGGAAGATGGTACTGATCAGCGCTGCTCAGTTTGCTGGGAATGGCTTTTATACTTCGCTGCCAAGGCATTGTTTGGCCACCTCCGAAGGATGAGGTCAGAGAGCACCTCCAATACCACAGCTAAAAGGCTAATGCCACGGTGGTTTTCACAGCGTCCGCGTACCCTTTTTGAAGATAGGAATACCGTCGACATGTCCCATTCTTCAGGCATCTTCTCTTCGTTCCATAAAGCACCAATAGGCTTTGTCAGATGGGTCACCAGGGATTCTCCGTTTTCTTTGAAAAGGGCTGGATACAGACCGTCCGGTCCTGGTGCCTTTTGACGTTTCAGTACGGGTATTTCGCACTTCATTTCTTCCGACGGGCGATCAAGGTTTACATTTGCACGTATGCATTATATCCACAGGCTGTGTTGCAGGAAGCCAGCTGAACTGTTTTCCGAAGTGTTCGGCCCATCTTTCCAGTCGATGTTTTTGCGAGTGATTTAATGAGCCGACCGTTGATTTCCTATGGCCAGTCGGTTGATATGTGGCATGGCTGTTTCCGGTAGAAAAAGCCCTCTCCATCTCCCGAACTTTCGATCCTTCCTTGAACTCTTCACTGTTTGGTGCTTTAAGGACTTGCATGCGCCGTCGTACTCGTTGCCTGCTGGTATGGCTTTCCTGGCATCAATCATTGATGGTGATCTCGGCGATATCCAGTAGTCTTGTAGCCGAACAAGAGAATTCTGACGGACAGCACTGAACTCCTCTAAATAGCTTCTTTCACATTTCGCCATGCTTCATCCACATGCTCACTGCCACCACAGTATTGGTTTACTGTGGAGAGTTGTTGGGCTGTTGAGTTCTTGTAGTTCTTCAAAAGTAGTTGATTGGCATGCATCTTTCTGACTTGCGAGAGCCTGAAGGGAAACGAACCGTCAGGTGTGCACACACAGTGGCGTGATCGGAATCAATTTTTGTGCCCCAGAAGGAACGGAAGTTTTGAATTGTGGCTCTCCACCGGTAGCTGATGGTCACGTGATCCAAATGGGTCCACGGTTGATTTGCAGCTGGTGGTCGTCAGGTTGCGTGATGCGAACGTTTATGTTGAAAGTTCCAACTTGCCAGAAACAGTCCATCATCTGCACACAGCTGAAGTAGTCGATCTCCGTTGTCTGTGCGCCGAGCGTCGTCTCCTAATCGACCGCCCAAGTGTAATTTCAAGGAGCTAAGACGACCTACTTGAGCATTCAAATGGCTTGCGAGGCTCACAATGTCAGTGCTTTTTTGCTTTGTGAATGAGCGTGGATAGTTCTTGATAAAAAGTATCCTTCTCAGCATCAGGACTGCAGTCAGCCGACACTACAAACGGGTATCGCTTTTTATGCGGAGAGGCATTGAGCTTGATTGAACAGGATAACCGGACGCCGCAAAGACTGGGGTCCGATCCAGCAAAGCGCTCTGGGGCTGAGAGCGACTCTCACGCCATATATTCCACGAGTCATCGCTTCTGGGTCACCAGACACACAGAGGGAGAAATGTGGAACAGCTGAGTTCGCCCTTGGCGTTCTGAGATGCATAACTTGGATCTTGTGTGCGTGTTTCGGAGGCACATCATACATCAATTTTAAGGAAGTATAAGGTTTCAGCAAGGATTGCCTGTTTGCCAGTTTGACATAGGGTACGAACGTTAAAACTCCTACATAGAAATGATTTCGCGGGTTTAGAAAGGTGTTATTTTGCTTATTTTTAATAGGCAGCGAGGAGCATAAGGCCCTTCGGTCAAGTGACCCAGTGACATTTGCTTGTGTGGTGGGAGGGTGCTGAGGAGGGACATCGGTGGGCAGTGTACTACGCGGGGAAATTATACTTCCCGGTTGCCAGGGCTGAGGAAGGGGAGTTGTTTGAGGTACCCTTGAGCCTTCAACTCGAAAGTTTGACTCACAAGGCAGTGGGAAAATGTAGGGTTTTGTTCGGGGACCCTGCCCCTAGCCTCTAACTCAATATTCGGACCTGCCCGACTGCAGGGGTTAGCCAACCCGAGGGCGCATGGAATAAGGCATCATTGCCCCGTTCCTGATGCAACTGCGTACAGCAGGTGCCTTTTAAGCAGCACCGGAGTCATTGGTTTTAAAAATATTTCGACCGTATTGGCGGTCACGGTCGTAGTGTGCGGTTTTTGTGGCCGACCTTTTCCAATTCGTCCTTCCTCGGGGGAAGGCAGCATCGCTGCTCCCATAACTATGAACGTGCTGGTCGCCTGGAGGTAAACACCTTGCTGCCTTCACACTCCTGTCGCAGAGGACAATACGACTTTACCCCCTGACCACCTCGTAGCACGATTACTCGTAGTACGGGGTCTCGCTGCTCTTAGTCTGACTGCTTCCCTTTGGCCTTCCCGGAATGGTT